CTCCCCGCGCTCCCCCTGCCAAGCTGTCTCTCTTCTCTTCTCTTTCTCCCCTCAACGCCCCCCTGCCTCTGCAGCCGGTGGGAGGGACTGGGACTTCCTGAGGTCTCAGGGATGGGGCCGGGGGCCCACTGGCTGCAACCGGACCAGGCCTCTGAGAGAGGAGGGGGCTCTGACTGTGTCCATTGGCCTGGGGGAGGGGACCACCACTTGAGTGGGAAGGGGGCTACTGAGAAAGAGGCCCAGGGTGTGGGGGTGACATCTAGACAGAGGGGATGAGCTCCTGATACCTTTCTTTTCTCACATCCTGTGGGCCTCTTGCCTGACTTCATTTGTTCCCACCTCCTAGCTAACTTTAGTCCCCACTGCTTGGTTTCATTTGGCCCCCACAGTCTGTGTTCTTTTGGGCCCTGTCACCTGGTTTCCCTAGACCCTACTGCCTGATTTCTTTTGTTCCTATTGCCTGCTTTCCACAGGTCTCTATTACCTGGCTTTATGGGATTGCCCTGCCTGTTTTCCTTAGGTCCTGTTGCCTGGTGTTAGCTCCCCTGCCTGGCTTCTGTGGAGCCCTATCAGGCTCCCTTTAGGATGGGGAGTCAGGGTCCAAGCTACACCTGGAGTGGCAAGTGGTGAGAATGTCAACAGCATTTCCAATTATTCCCTGGTTGGGGCCTAGCCAGCACAGCCTGGATTTCATTCTGTCTGGACAGACACATGGTGTCCTTTCTTGTGATGGGGGAGGGGGGGTAAAGGGGGGGCAGGGTCCAAGGACACTTTAGGATTCTTGTCCTCAGTGGTTACTTAGGGGAGTACCAGTTTGGCCAGTACTATCCCCATCTCTCTTTGGGCCTGATAGTGATGACAGTGCTTTGGCTGGGGGTTGAGGTTGAGGTCCCATCTCTTTCTCCTTCCCCTCCTGCAGCCAGGCCTGACATTTGGTACATTATAGACAGTTGTGGGCATAGAGCTTTTTAAAAAAATTGTTGACACTGTTACAGATATCCCCCTTTCCCCTCCTTTGACCCCCTCCACCCAGCCCCCAGCCCCCAGGACTTCACCACATTATTGTCTGTGTCCAAGGGCTATGCATATATGCATATATGTTCTTTGGTTAATCTCTTCAAGTCCCCCCAATCCCCTTCCTTCTGAGATCTGTTTGAAGAGGCCTGGGATCACACAGCAGAGAGCTAGGCTGAGAGCTGCTGCTGATCCTCATCCTAGAGAAGAGAGGGTGAGAAAGGGAGACAGTAGGGGCTTGGGGAGTAAGCTGGCTTCTGGGGTTTTCTGGCTCCTGCTCCTACCATTGCCACCATCTTTTTACCCTGGGCTTCTTCACCCCTCCTGTCTGGCGTGGAGGTCCCCTCACTTCCAGATACTGGTGAAAGTGGGGTTAGGGGAGGAAGTAGCTGCCTAGGGCAGC